TTTTAATCTTTAAAGTGAGTCACAGCTTCCTAACAAAAGAGAAGATTAAATTGTTAATGTTTAAAAATTGTTATGCACTCTCCTCACCTCCCTGGAAATCTTAAGGGTTCTGTGAACAGGGAATGGATTAAGGGGAAGGTCGTAAAGGCATAAAGACATGGTTTGCGAATCAATTTTCCGAGATTATTGCAAAAATGAACTCTCCCCACACAGGCTAACCTGAAACATTACAAGGTTGTTGAAGAGCCCTGAACAAAGCAATGATGTCAAACATCATTGTAAACAAAAGCTGGATCTGTGGGGGTTTGGGAGTTGGGTTATTGTCAAGAAAGCTGAGTGCTAGCTTTGGTTCAGCTACTATCTATAATGCAGATTCTCAAAATGCGGCAAGTAATCCTGAATGACCCATTCAAACATAGACTGCTGCGCACCTTTTGCAGAGTTTCTGATTCAGTAGGTCCAGGGTGGGGCCCAAGAATTAGTAACAAGTCTTCAAGTGACCTCCCCCCCACAACCCCTGTTTCAAATAAGACCATTGAAAGAGGGGTTTGAATGAAATCAGGGCCACGGAAGGAAAGTAAATGTAGGAAGTGGCCACAAGGCAGAAGACATGAACAGACATTTTTCCAAAGAAGACATCCAAATGGCCAACAGACACATGAAAAAGTGCTCAACATCGCTCGGCATCAGGGAAATCCAAATCAAAACCTCAATGAGATATCACCTCACACCAGTCAGAATGGCTAAAATTAACAAGTCAGGAAATGACAGATGTTGGCAGGGATGCGGAGAAAGGGGAGCCCTCCTACACTGTTGGTGGGAATGCAAGCTGGTGCAGCCACTCTGGAAAACAGTATGGAGGTTCCTCAAAAAGTTGAAAATAGAGCTACCATATGATCCAGCAATTGTACTACTGAGTATTTACCCCAAAGATACAAATGTAGGGATCCGAAGGGGCACCTGCACCCCAATGTTTATAGCAGCAATGTCCACAATAGCCAAACTATGGAAAGAGCCAAGATGTCCATCGACAGATGAATGGATAAAGAAGGTGTGGTATATATAAACAATGGAATATTATGCAGCCATCAAAAGGAATGAAATCTTGCCATTTTCAATGACGTGGATGGAACTGGAGGTATTATGCTGAGTGAAATAAGTCAATCAGAGAAAGACATGTATCATATGACCTCACTGATATGAGGAATTCTTAATCTCAGGAAACAAAGTGAGGGTTGCTGGAGTGGTGGGGGGTGGGAGGGATGGGGTGGCTGGGTGATAGACATTGGGGAGGGTATGTGCTATGGTGAGCACTGTGAATGGTGTAAGACTGTTGAATCACAGACCTGTACCTCTGAAACAAATCATACATTATATGTTAAAAAAAAAAAAAAGAGGAAGAAGATAGCAGGAGGGAAAGAATGAAGGAGGGGATATTGGAGGGGGAGACGAACCATGAAAGACTATGGACTCTGAAAAACAAACTGAGGTTTCTAGAGGGGAGTGGGGTGGGAGGATGGGTTAGCCTGGTGATGGGTATCAAAGAGGGCACGTATTGAATGGAGCACTGGGTGTTATACACAAACAATGAATCATGGAACACTACATCAAAAACTAATGATGTCATGTATGGTGATTAACATAATAAAAAAAAAGAAAGTAATGGAGCCTGCAATAGAGAGAAAAAACACCCTGCCTGAAACATTCAGGTTGGAAAGAAAATAATGAGTGTTGTTCTGGCTAAACTAAAAGGATATGGGCCTGATTCATCCTGTTCGCTTCTTGAACTCAAAAGTCTTATAGGGTCCTTCTATATACTATTGAGATTCTAAGTATTCTAAATACAAACCTGATTATGACTTCATTAAATTTGGTCTCTGTATTTTGATAGCAGACAACTGAAGTTCATGGAGAAAATGAGAAAATGTTAAGAGGAAAACCACAGGGAAACATCTCAACAAGAGGGATTTTTTAAAAATAATTACATGGACTTAGGAATCTAGGGATAGGCTGCCACCTGCTAATGGAAGCTCAGGAACAACTAATCAAAGTCTGGGGCAATGAGTAGCACGTTGTAATGTGTGACCAATGGCTGGTCCACAAGGAAAAGGGAACCGACATTTATTGGGAGCCTACTGTGTGCTATGATCTCTTCTAGGTACCCTTTGAATGTTTTTCTCATTTATCCTACAACCACTGCAAGATGGTATTATTAAAACATTTTAGCGATGAAGAATCTGAGACTCAGAAAGGTTAGGAAACATGCCAGATGTCACATATTTAGTAAATGTGGGATCTGGGAACTGCAATCTGCTTTCCTCTGATGGCCATTTTGTTTTTTTTTTCTGTCACTGCCTTTCCCTCAGCTGGAGAATTGAGAACTCTGAGAGGTCTGTCTCTTTATCAAACCACTCCTCTGTCCTACTTTTCTATCTGAAAATAAATGACCAAATTCCCCTTTTTTCCTACAGTCAAATAACACAGCCACTACCATCCTCGAAGACAGACTATCCTAAAAGAAAGACTCTATGTTTAGTTATGTCATGGAAATTACTCCGGAGAAAGTGGGGTAAAATGCAAAGAGCAGAAGTTTTGAGGGCCAACTAACCTCAATGTACATCCTGGTTTCATTACTTGCTGTCACTCTGTTTTTCTGGGTGGCATACCCAGAGTGAGGTAAATCATATCTAATTTATATGAGAATAATCAGACCAATGTGACACAGCTGAGAACCAAGTGACAGAAGCACAATTCCTACCATCTTGCAGAGTTTACAGAAATACTGGTTTCTTCTGCTTTTCTCTGAGTAATATTATAAGCCCAAACACTCAGAAACTGTTTTTACTACTCCTTAGCAGCTCTCTTTTGTTTTTCTCAGCAGTCCCTTATCTTAACTCTTTTACTTTTGTTTCCTGTTCTGCTGGTCTCTTCCGTTCTGCAGTGCTTCTAATCTTTCAGTGAGCAAAAATGTCTTTTGTCTCATTACCTCCTTAGAAAATACACACTAGCCAAGATCGTAACATTCTCTGGGGAAAAGATGCTCTCTGAATGCAAAGTTGAAGCAGCCTGAAATTGCACACGCATACTCATATTCCACAATTTAGTTTTTATGTGTATATTTCTACGAAATCAGTTTTAATCTTTCCTGATTATAAAAGCAAATATGCTAATTGTAGAAAATACTAAAAATACAGACATTTATTTTAAAAAGGAAAAATCCTCCAAAATCCTGCAATCCAGGAAAAAGCCTACATTGTTAATATTCTCAAATATTTTCTTACAGGTTTGTATTTACCCTGTGTGTGTCTGTGTGTGTGTGTGTGTGTGTGTGTGTTTATAATTGAGTTCCTGTGGCTTATTTCACTTGAAATCACAGCATATTCTTTCCCCCTGGTCATTAGGATTTAATAACATAGTTTTAATGGTTGCATAATGTTTATCAGATGGCAAGCTCCGCCTTCTATATCTGTTTGTTTATAATCCCCCCATGAGAGGAGCCACAATATATCTATTTAAGTTACCATTGCTTGAAAAATAGGGCTAACAAGAAAAGACATGGTAGAATGCATGTCCAATCTCATAATTGTTTACTTAATAATTTGGAAAAAGTGTAGCGTGTACAGCTATGGATTTGGCAGCAGAAGAATTAATGAAAGTATCAAAAATTCAGTACCACAGTGATTCAGGAATGGTTTTATAAATTCGTGTTATATTTTGTCATTATGAAAATGTTCATTGACATACCATTTTTGTATTTCTTTGGAAGGTAATCAACTTCTATAAATGCCTGTTGTGGCAACTGAGAATAAAGATGACTTTTGTATCTTTATATTTCTATGATATAAAAAGTATTTTTCAAGAAGGGAAATACCAGTTCCTAATCTTATACAAAATAATACAAATAATGGATGGATAGGGGTTTATATATTCACTGAAAGAAGAAAATTTCAGATTTCAGATTGTGGATTCTTTTATTATTTCATATTCCAATTGCTCCATGTACTCTTTATTCACATCTACTATGTGAATCCAGGCAATTTTTCATTCAGTGACTCTCAGTTTTCTAATCTGCAAAGGCAGTTGAACTAGATGATTTCTTAGGCCCATAATAGCTCTAATATGAATTTCTGTGTTCTGAAAGGTTAATTAATATGATTTCTAATATCAAAGCATAATAAAATTCTATCAGGTGCCTTGTTTTGGAGAATGGAAAAGAATATGCTTAAAAAGATTTATCAGGTTTTTTTCAGACATATTGTTATATATTAGTTATATTAAAACTTTAGAAATTAAAAAAATACATAAAGTATCATGGTTAACTATAGCCATTGATTACATAGAACTATATTGTGGGTGTTTCCATAATTCATTATAGTGATCATTATTAAATATTTATTGAGTTCTAACAAAAAGCTCTAGGAAGAATATAAATCCAACTGGCCAGTGACCAAAGTCTAATTAAATAGCTCTAATCTAATACACAAACAATCAGGTATAGGCACAAAACATGCATTTAAAACAAACAAACAAACAAACTTTAGTTTAAAAAAGAATCCTATTATCAGAGCACTATTAGCCTTAATAAGACAGCCATTTCAGTAAAGGACAGCCAATGGAAATATTCCTTTATCTGGTAAGATAAAGGGTTACATAGGAAAGCATGCATTATCACAAAATTTTAATTGTTTGGAGTATTTGATAGTATAGAATTTTTTGTGTTGGCTCATAAATAGATTCCATACAAAGTTATTTTTGAGGAGTACTTTAAGAGTTGCAATCTTATCATACAAAGACAAACTATAAAGTGCATACTTGTTCGCAGTGCCTCTCTGGCTTCTTTTGGACTCCCACCCAAATCAATCAAAAATAAATAAATAAAAATCAATCAATTTTCATTTTCTTTGGTGATATCTAAACAATGCCAATATATTTGACCCAAACATAGCAGAGTCAGAACTTTTGCTGGAATTCTGTAGAGGAATGCCTCCTGTGTTGCTTACCTTTGTCACGTGAACGCAGCGGGGACCCGGAGGCGTGGTCAGAGTAGTGACAGAGATTACCAAGGAATCGGAGAATCCCTTCAAGCATGACTGACCAGAATGGCTTCTACTCTTCACTCCTGTTTTAAAGATTGCTCAGATTTTTCAAGAAATGTGTAGAAACGTGTGAGGCGCAGCGTGCTTCTCTTATTTTGCTGATAAAGACTCTCTGGCATTAGCCAAACAGCCTTCTTGGAACAGTGATCATTTTTAATGGCAAGCAACCGTGTCCTCCAACAAAAACCACCCTTTCACATTTTTTTCCTAAGCAGTTTGCTGATTTCCATTTAGTGTTTACTTTTTTTTTTTTTTTTTTTTGTAAGAGCCTTAAATGCCTTGCATTTTGGCAAAGTGAGCTAATTTTATCTTTTGGCTTCTAAATTATTTTAAAATAAACAAAAATGTTGACTGCTTGAACTTTCATTTTCACAACAATTGATATTCCTGACCTTCTTTTCATAGGAACTAATGTTTCTGAAGGTATAAAGAGGCCACTTATTTCGGTAAATAAAAAAGCATGGTCATTTACTATTTCCAATTACCAAAATTTGTGGCAAAGAATCAAAACATGCATATATCCAACCTGTGAAATAGCTGTAGTTAAAATATAAGCTGTTTAACATTAACTTTAATGTTAAGCAACCTCACAAATGCCTTCTCCACAAGCCAGGGCCTTGCAGAAAGCCATAAAAGGGAAGGAATATAATTTTGTTTGCTGGCACTTACTGAAAAGCTAAAATAGAATAGTAACAGAAATCATATTTGCCAGCTCTAACCGAAGGAGTTGTGAAACATCATCTCAGAAGATTGTAAGTTATTGTAAAAATGTTGTAGTTACTGTGTTATTAACTATGTTTTATAGGAGTTGAAACTTTTGTTTAGCTGAAGATTATTTAGAGCAAAAAACAACAATTAAGTAGCATAGAAAGATCTAAATATGTTTTTCAAAATGTATTCCACACAGTGATATGGAGCATTTTAAAATTTAGCTTTAAGTTGAAATATGGTAATTCATTTTTTACTCCCTGATGAGAATTAGATTTTTTGCAGTGATAGTTTTCAAGTATGATATTATAGTTTTCAAGTAATATCTTTGTAATAATTCACTTATTTTTTTCTGGTTGATGGACCAGAAGGGCAGTAAAACTATATGTTGTTGATTTCATAAATTCTGAATTTTTTAAAGCAAATTTTAGCATTTAGCAAGTTAGCTAAAGCACACATATAGTAAGAACTGGCTTGATTCATACAGTGGATTCTTCTTTTTTAAAGTGGCTCATTGACTGTGGCTTTAATGATGCAACCCTTTCAAATACATGTACGTGTTCGTACATATTGCACATATTTTGCAAAATTCATAAGCTTTGAATTACAGATTTGTATATGGAATTGCAAGGCACATAGGAAAAGTTTGAATAAAATGCCACTTTGCTAGAACTCTAAAAAAATTAGTGCCAGCTATGTGTTTTATTTCCTAATATTGCAATAATGCACACTTCAGTTCACCTTAAAAAATGACAGTTTTGACCTACTAAATTATGTCATTACATTTCTGTGGGTTTTCAAGTGTAAATGTGAAAGATTTATGGAATTATTTTTCATTCCTTTTCTAATTATAATTTTTCAATCTATGTAAAGCCAAGGGAACATAACAAGAATGTAAATCAATTTATATCTCCGTGGGTTTTGTTTTAATAAAAAGAAAACGAAAAATTTCTGACTTTTTTTCTGAGATTGCTTGCTTATACAATCTGAAAAACAAATTTGTCTTAAAATTTAAATTCAAATATAAAACCTTTTGCCAAGATATGCATTTAGCACTTTTTTTTTCTTTCAGAGAACTTTGTTCCCTGTAAGAACAATTTCTACTATTGAGGCTCCATGTCCCAAAATAGTTTTAAAGTGGGAAAAGTAGTTTTAAAGAATTTCTGTCTTAACTGGATTTACTAATGCCTCTCTTCTCCTCTCCACTGCCCTCACTCATATGCACTTCAACCAGGCCTCTGGTCAACAAACCCACAAGACTATTTCCTCCCTAGGTCAAGTGCCTTGCAGATGCCTTATGGGTTGCTCATGGATAAGGCAATAGAAATGTTATGCAAATGAGTTTCTGGGATACATGTTAATAAAAGGTACAGATGCAATGCTATGAACCAGCCGGCTTCTTTGTCCTCAAATGCTGAGTTATTACATGTTTGCGGAATAGGTTTAGGCAACAGGTGGATTTACACACAGCTCCATGTTCTGCAGGGAAATACAGTTGCTTCAGAATCAGAACAGCAAAACTTGGCTCTTCTGAACCTAGAAGAGAAAATCCTGACCCTGCCTACTTCCTTATTTTAGTGGTTTGGCTAACCAAAGCAAACACCCTTTAACTATTTGGGGAAGTAGGTTCTTTTATGGGTTTGAGGACTTCTCTAGATTTTTTTTTTACAGGTTTTTCAGTCTAGGCTGTGATGTTTCCTAGTGTCTTCAAACACCTGAAAAAGCAAGATGTCTGTTTTCAGTTCTGTATTAGCTTCTCCTCACACTAAGAACTGTCAATCTCAGTTGCTCATGAACTTTTTATTCCTTTGGCTTTTCACCAATGATATTCCTTAATTTATTGCTTTGAATTTCTGTATTAAAGACCATCCATGTCCTGTATATTTCCCTCCTTACTCTTCACTGCATCTATCAATGTATCAGATGCCTCTGATCCTTAAAAGATGAGAATACAAGATATAAGTAGAAATTGAGGAGTTGTTTTAAATCTCAAACAAGAAAATTATTGGTGTTACACCTAGCTGGTATGAATCTATATACTCAAGTATTCAAGAAATTCCCTATTCTTTTACAATCATAATTAAAAAAAAAAAAACTAATTCTGACTCCTAAAACCTCTTCCCATGGGAATGACACACTACTGCCTACTTTGCCTCCCCTCACCCTCCCCTGGCCCTGGAGCAGGATTAGGGGACAGAATCCAAATGAGATGCAAAGGCAGGAACACATAGTACTTTTCAAGAATTTGTTCCTCCTCTACGTAGGACCAGTTAATTGTTGATCCTGCTTTGTTTTCTGCCTTCTCTTCTATATTTTAACAGAGGCCATAAAACCTAATTTCTCTGTGAATTCTCCCAAATTGTAAATGTATACTTAAATTAGGCGGTTTAAGTGAAATACAACTTTGAGCCAATTTAGCCCAATGGCCATCATTTTACAACTTTTATCCTGGACTTAATAAATGTCCTAATGGCACTTGCCATTAGGATATGTCTGCATTCTGTTCTGCCTGAAGGCAAAGGGTCAGTCTAGCTACCTTGTTTCTTAACTTTTCAAGGCCAGGAGGCTTCATGGAGATGTTCACTTAGTTGGCCCCCATTCTAACATGTGGTGATTATGATTTATTACCTACCACTTTGTGCTTCTGGATTTTTCTGATACTAAAGGGTATGCACATAAGCACAACAATAACAAATCAGTTATAGCAAATAATAGGCATTGCATGAGTTCTTACATTAAAAAGTCTAAGTGAAGGAGCATTATACCGTGCTTTATAGTAATGGCATTAGTTTTATTATCAAAGTCATAAAAATGGAGCACTGCCTTAAGCTATTTCTAAATGCTCCCATAGCTCAGCAGTTAGGCACAAATTTCGGTGGCTTCTAGGCTCAGACTGATCTACACCATGTACCAACATTTCAAAGGAGCGAACTCAGTGGTTTATTTAGGGTGGTAGGAATCTTATTTTCTCTGAGTTAGTGCCAGCAATGAGCAAGTCCTCTCGTTCTACAGGTGATATGAAATAAGGATTTAACCTATCCCATGTGTTTAAGGACTAAACTCCCAAATTAAAGTTGAGGCAGGGAATTCAGGAGAGGGAGATGCTCGCAGAGTTTGCAAATACAGCTAAGATACGCTGTAGTGTGAATAGTAAATTGTTTTCTTCGATGCAAATGTAAAATAAGATAACAAAGCACCAGTACGGTGCTTCTGAGATAGTAGGTGCTCAACAAAGGCTTACTAAAAGGAAAGAAAAGCCTTCTCATACCAAGTGGAGCTGGACAAAGTGTTTGGCATATTGGTTTATTCTTTGCAGTTTTCATAGCACCACTACGGTGGGGAATATATTAGTAAAGGAGTGACACCAGAGGCTGGGACACCAATGTATGATGGCTTCAGAAATCTAGGCAAGAGCTAATAGGTGAGGCTTGAATCTGGACATGGAAGATGGAAGGAATGGAAAGCAAGTTGCAAGAGATGATGCAGAGTAGAATGGGTAGGATTTGGTAGCAAAGAGAGAGAGATCGAGGCGGGCCAGACTAGACAGGGATGTATACTTTTTTTTTTTTATTATGTTATGTTAATCACCATACATTACATCATTAGTTTTTGATGTAGTGTTCCATGATTCATTGTTTGTGTATAACACCCAGTGCTCCATTCAATATGTGCCCTCTTTAATACCCATCACCAGGCTAACCCATCTCCCCATCTCCCTCCCCTCTAGAACCCTCAGTTTGTTTCTCAGAGTCCATAGTCTCTCATGGTTCATCTCCCCCTCCAATTTCCCCCCCCTTCATTTTTACCTTCCTACTATCTTCTTCTTTTTTTTTTCTTAACATATATTGCATTATTTGTTTCAGAGGTACAGATCTGACATTCAACAGTCTTGCACAATTCACAGCGCTTACCAGAGCACATACCCTCCCCACTGTCTATCACCCAGCCGCCCCATCCCTCCCACCCCCCACCACTCCAGCAACCCTCACTTTGTTTCCTGAGATTAAGAATTCCTCATATCAGCGAGATCATATGATACATGTCTTTCTCTGATTGACTTATTTCGCTCAGCATAATACCCTCCAGTTCCATCCACGTTGTTGCAAATGGCAAGATGTATACGTTTTAAAGACTGAATAGTTAGGAGGAGAAAGGATCCCTTAATTAAAATTTTGGTAAACGAAGGGTTAGTTTCAGAGGATCTCTATATAATCTGTTCTCTTTCGAACAAATCACATCATGAAGTTTTGTATCTGAAAAGTCTCTTTTTGGCTGTTACCAATGGGGCAGATTTTAACCTCTTCTATTTGGACTAAAAAGTCCTTTAATGTAAGATCTCTTACCGCCTTTCTAGTCTCTGTACAGCACCCTGAAGCCTTGACGTTCTACAGCTACTGAAATATACAGGTGCCTCAGGCACGTTACGTCTGTCTGCAGTGCCCACCTGCCTCTGCTCTGCCCAGCAAACTCGAACCAGTCCCCGCACAGAGAGAAGATGCCTCACTGCTGAGGCTGCGCCCAGCTCTCCCAGCTGATCACTCCCTTTGTTCTCGGTTACAATAGCTCTTGCTCATTACTTCAGTAATATGTTCCATCTCTAGTCTGTGGGCTTCTTAAAGAAAGGGACCATATAACATTTATCTTTGTGTTGCATGGACTGTGTGTAATAGCAGTTTAATAATTGTTAGTAAGATGATTTGAACATTTGAAAAGGAGAGTGTGAATAGGCGCCTGGGTGGCTCAGTCATTAAGCGTCTGC